AATCATTATTTTCATTATTGCTCTTTAATGTATACATGCTGAATTACACTAGGAATTGTTAAAATAATAACACACTGCCATTTAGTATGTGTGGGATGCTCTACACATGCATTTCTTTCAGATAAATGTTACAAGTTGAAGAATTGTAATTAATCCAAAGGCAAAATTACCCCACAAAAAACTTGGATCTTTCCTAAGCACATAAGTTCATAATCAAATTGAATGTATAACGGTGACTGAATAGCTGTCAAGAAATCCATGAAATTTTTGAGAAATTGTTTTACTGAGAAGTAGTGAATCATCCTTCTCACATCCCCACCCGCCTCCCAACCTGAGGCGAGGGAATGTAACATTTTAAGTCCAGGCTATAGGAAAAAGTGCCTTTACTCCATCAAAATATTCTTATTAAAATGGTGTAAGGTAGACTGATAACAGTTTGTGGTGACCAGTTGAAAGGTTAAGTGGTTAAGTTCCACTTGTGAAATTTTATATAATAATAAATTGTGATATGTGCACATTTTATCATATGGGTTATACTGCAATAAGATGTTCAAACGAAGGGGCTGATATAAGTTATCATCTTACCTTCAACTTATTCTCTGGGGCAAACATTTCTAAAATTCACTCTGAAAATCATTTTTCTAGCCATCCTGGTGCTACTCAAAGTACATAGAAGCCTTAGAGCAGGAAAGGATTCTTCTTAAAGTTCAAGAAGAAATAGAAAAGAAGTTGTTCACGGGTAATTTTTGCTTTTTGCTTGCACGTTGTTTGTTATCTCCCATCGCAGGTTTATTTTAGAGGACTTTGCTGATGATTGCTTCACTGTGTCCCTTATCTCTCTTATTTTGTGCAGGTGGACTATCTCTTACAAATGTTAAGCCTAATTCTTCAGGTACGTCTCTGAAAAAGACCTCATCTTCCCAAAGCAACCAGAGTGAGTTTCCGATGACAGTCTGTGAGGAGGTCCTCAGTTCTTCCTTCCTTCTTGTTAGAGCTCTGCCTTTGTCCTGGCCTTGCCGACTAGAGAGGGCAGGGGACGAGGACTGCCTCCCTCCAACTGATCTGACCCTGAAAGTTAGGAGAATTTCTGTGTGTGTGTGTGTGTGTGTGTGTGTGTGTGTGTGTGTGTGTGTGTGTGTCCCCCCGCTGAGGAGAAAAGGCATATCTAACATTTCATTCCATTTCCAGAGTGACAGTACGCCTGTGAGTGTATACCCTGGTGCTGATAGGTGCAAGGTAAGTCATGGACTGAAAGTTGATCAGTTGTATCCATGTGCCTATAATATACATACTCATGTGCTTTCACAGCTGTATACATGTACACACAAAAAATACATGCACATCAAACATATATACACACCAAATAAACACATGCATACCACACACACACACCACTAACAAACGTATGGGTAGAGCACTTTGCCTCCCTTCTGAATGGTACAATCTGAAAAGGACTTTGGATACAAATGTTAGAGTTTAACGATGCCCCTATAAAGTAGTATGGTAGTATAATGTAGTATACGTATAACCCATTGACCCAGTACTTGAAGAACCAGTAAAAGTCCCCTTTCTCTTACCTTCTGTCTTGCAGCTGACCTTTTTATTTCTCTAAATCCTTAGAGTCCTGACTCTTGGGAGGGTTTGATGAGCAGATCTTGATGTTCTGAGCCTGCTCATCTTTTTCCTCTCTGGTTTATCCTAGCCACTGCCCCTTTCTCTCAGTTGCGCTCTCCTTAGGCCAACCTCACATGTAGAATGTACTGACACATGCTAATGTTTTTATCCTTATCACAACTCTATGTTAGGTTTCTTGGTTTGTTTTGGATTTATGTTTTCTATAGCTACTTATGTTTTCAACCATTTATTTTTCTCTTGCAGGAATTCTTTAAGCCCAATTTAACTGACATGGAAGCTCAAGTGATTTTTTGATGGTCTTCATTAGAGCAAGCCTTCCATCTAAATAAAGTTTGGCTTGTTTTCGCCCACCATTTTAAAATGACAGCTGTTCTGCACACATGACATACAGACTATAAAATTTTTAAAAACGTATTTAGAATAAAGCTACTCTCTAGGTTAGACAATCAAAATGTTTATCACAGATCTTAAGGATGCATCATGCTCCTCAAGTAATTTTTCAACAAATATCCTTGATCGTGACTACATTTGATTAGCAGATATATTCAGTAGGTGGTTAGGGAACTAATATTCCTAGCAATAAATTGGCCCAAAACATAAAAGGGAAGAGCCTTCCCCAGCCCATTCCTATCCCCAACTCTAAAGGAACCCTATATTAAAACAGTGGTTCTCAAACTTCAGTGTGCGTAAGACTCACTGGTGACATCTGCTAGCAATACAGATTCCTGGACTTGCTCTCGGAGTCCGATTCACTAGTTCTCTAGACATTCCAGGTGATTCTGACTCAGGTGGTCCCCAGGCCACTCTGTGATAAATGGTAGCAAGAGAAGAGCCTTCAAAGGGAAAAGCCCTCTTATTGACTGGAGTTACACTCGTAGCAGAGAGAACCCAGTCTTACACCCTTCCCTTCCCTGGAGTGAAAGGCCAATGTGTCAGAAATGACTGCACCATCTCTAGCCTTCTGGACTCAGAAGCTCCAAGGTCTATGGCCTGGGTTACAGGATGGCAAGCATCAGATTCCACTCGGATACAGTCTCAGAAAGCATTTTCACAGTGGGAACTGCCATTTCTAATTCTCTGAAGAGTTAGACATTTTAAAGAGGGAAAGCACCAGTAGGCGCCATCTTTTTTTCTAACACAGGTTTTTAAGGAGCATTGGGACTCTGTATTTCCTAGAGTTTGCTCTCACACTACCCCACAACCCACAGTGGCCGAGAAGTTGTCTGTTTTCCATTTGTTACCCTTGTTCTTTGTTTCTTTTTTTGTATTCCACTCTTTTTCTGCCTTTTGTTTTGTTTTGAGTAATTTATGTGATTATATTTTCTCTCCTCTCAGCATATCGGTTATACTTCTTTTTAAAATTTTCTTATTGGTTTCCATAGAGTTTACAGTATACCTTTACAACTAATAAAAGTCAACTTACAAATAATACTCTACTGCTTCATGGGTCGTGCAAGTACCTTATAACAGAGTATATCTAAGTCCTCCCTCCTGTCCCTTATCACATTGCTGTCAATTCACTCTACTAATCCATAAGCTATAATCACTGAGTGCATTATTGCTATTATTGTTTTGAACAAACTATTTTCTGTTAGGTCAATTAAGAAGAAGGAAAAATAAAACATTATTTTACCTCCATTTATTTCCCTTTTTTAATGCTCTTCCCTTCTTTATATAGATCTGAGTTTTTTACCTGGATCATTTTCCTTCTCTCTAAGGAACTTTTAACATTTCTTGCAAGGCATGTCTAATTAGGACTCAATACTAAATCAACTATATAATATATCCATAAAAATTTAAAAAATAGATAAATAGCATTTCATAAAATTTTAAAACTTTTGTACTTCAAAAGATCCCATTAAGAAAATGAAAAGACAAACCAGGGACTCAAAGAAAATATTTGTAAATCATATATTCTGCCAAAGACTTAAGTCTAGAATATATAAAGAATCCTTACAATTCAACAGGAAGAAGACAAACCATTTTTAAAATGAGCAAATTATTGGAAAAACACTTTACCAAACAAAATATGTGAATGGCCAGTAGCACATGGAAAGCTATTCAAACATCATTAGTCATTAGGGCAATGCAAATAAAAAACAACTCACATTCACTAGAATGGAGATAATAAAAAAAGATAAGAAATAACAGGTATTACCAAGTACGTAGAGAAACTGGACTTTCATAAATTGCTGGTGGAAATGAAACTGGCACTTTAGAAAAATTGGGCAGTTCCTTAAATAGTTATATGTTTACCACACTACTTAGCAATTCAACTTTTAAGAATCTACACAAGAGAAATAAAAACATTTCCACACAAAAATTTGTATGCTAATATTCATGACAGTACTGATCATAAGGGCCAAAATATGAATGCTATACAAAAACCAATCAACTCATGAAAGGATAAACAAAATGTTGCACATACACACAATGGAGTACTATCCAACAATAAAAAGAGCACAATACGGATACATGTTGCAACATACATGAACCTCAAAAACATGCTAAGTGAAAGAAGACAGATAAGTAGCATTTATTATATGACTAGAGGCCTGGTGCACGAGATTCGTGCAGTAGGGAGGGTCCCTCAGCCCAGCCTGCGCCCTCTCGCAGTCTGGGAGCCCTCAGGGGATGTCCACTTGACAGCGTAGGCCCACTCCCCAGCAGTCGGTCGCCTTTAGCGCGGCTGCAGAGGCAGGAGAGGCTCCCACCACCACTGCTGCGCTCACTAGCCATGAGCCTGGCTTCTGGCTGAGCGGTTCTCCCCCTATGGGAGTGTACTGACCACCAGGGGGCAGCTCCTGTGTTGAGTGTCTGCTTCCTGGTGGTCAGTGGGTGTCATAGCAACCGGTCGTTCTGCTATTCGTTTGGATTATATAGAATTCCATTTATATAAAATGTCCAGAAAAGGACAATCTGTAGAGATAGAAATTAGATAGTGGTTGCCTGGGGCCTAGGATGAAAACTGGGATTAATTGTAAATGGGCATAAGGGATCTCTTTGGGGTGATAGAAATGTTCTAAAACTGCACTGTGGTGATGGTTGCAATATTCTCTAGATTTGCTTTAAAAAAAATCATTGAATCCCCCCTCTAAAAAAAAAATTGAATCCTAAAATGAGTGAATTTTATAGTATATAAATTGTGTTTCCATAAAGCCATTTGCAAAAAATTACTGAAACCAAATTAACACACCAAAGAAGTGTGTGTGTGTGTCTTTATTTTTCATTTGTATTTGAAGTGGTTGCTGGTATTAACAAAGGGCTATTACAGTGATTCCATTTCATACAGGAAGAAGACCATAAACCTTGGCATCAAACACATCTATTAACTCACACTTCCTACCATATCTATCTCTCCTCGCTTACAATAAAACCAGAGAGGCTCAACCTTTTTGGTCTCAAGGTCTGTTTATACTCCAAAAAATATTAAGAACTCCAAAGATCTTTTAATTATGTGATTTATATCTATTGATATTTACTGAATTAGAAATTAAAACTGAGAACTTTTTAAAAGATTTATTAAAATATCAATAATAAACATATTAAACATATAAACCTGCTAGCACAAATTATACGTTTTTCTTTTAAAAGACTATATTTTTGAAACAGTACAATTTAGGGAAAAGAGTAGCATTGCTTTACATTTTTGCAACTCTCTTCAATGTCCGCCTTAAAAAAAAAAGGCTGAAATCATATATCTGCTTCTGCTTTTAATCTGTTATGTTATATTGTTTTGGTCAAACTATATGAAGAAAATCTGGCCTCACACAGATATGCAGTTGGAAAAGGAAAGGAGTATTTTGATAGCTTCCTCAGATAATTAGGGGTATTCTTCTTTGTACTACCCCAGCACTTGAAAAACTGGTCGATTCATAAAGGTTAGTTGCAATATGGAATCTGAAACTGTACCAATACTTCCCATACTCTGCTACATGAAAATCTATTGGTCTTTGTGGCCCTTTGAATGGATCTTTTATCCATGTGTGATTTTGTAACCTCATGCATTGTTCTTTTTTGGGGGGATTCACTGAGTTATGCAGATATTCCAAGTATTGCCATTGTATTGTACCACATCAAAAAATCACCAATCTCATCAGAAAAATCTGTGAGAATTGGGAAGCTGCCGAACCCACAGTGGTAGATATGTTCTCCAGAATTCTTACCTTCACTGGAAGCTTGTATTTTGTCATCGGAAAAAATACTGTTTGTTGTTTTCCTTGAAGTAACAGTTTTACTTTGTACATTTTTGAGAAAACACCTGCCAAATACCCCAGTCTGAGTAGCTGTAATTTGTATGTCAGTCCTTCCACGTGAAAGTGGCGTTTCATCTGGCAGCCCAGACAGTTGCACGCAGGCTTTTTCTGGAGATAACCATTATACTTTGGTTGCACTGGGCATGCTTTCTGTTTACTTCCCATTTCATCATTAGAATATTTTTTAAATGTGTACTCAAGGGTGAACATTTAATAAAGTTAATACTTTGTGACATTCTTAAGTGAAATTGGCTTCTTTTTTATAAAAGTGAAGAATGCAATTGTTTTGGTGCCACTGCCTTGATAAAGGGGCGAGCAGTTTCACCCACCATTGCCTTAGCATCGTCAGTACAAGTACCAGCACAGGGGGAAAGGCACATGCCATCTTAATATTATTCTGAAAATAGCTTTGACCTCATGGGTCCCCTGAAAGAGTAGTGTGCAGACCACCCTTTGAGAACCACTGAACAAATGACAGCCCAGGAGTAAGTCGTGCGGTTGCATATCCATTCCATCTCCTGGGCATCCCTTTCTTCTTCCTCCTGCAGAATTCCTACCCATTTTTCAAAGGCCCAATTCAAAATTCTCTGCTTCTTAAAGTTTTCCCTGACCCTTCCCCCTCAACCCCATTGAATTGATTGGTTGGTTTTTTAAAAATCCTCACCCAAGGATCTTTT